CATCTCAGTCATCACCATCGTAACGTAAGTGACATCCATCTCATATTCCTCAAGTTCTGGTGCCGGCTTGTGTTAACACCTCGTAGCCCCCTAGGTTCTTCGATGTTCGCCCCGGGTATCCCTAGCATCATGGAGGAATTTCATTCGACTTCATCTACGATAGCCACGTTTCTTCTCTCGATATATATCCTGGGCTTTGCTTTCGGGCCGCTTCTCGTGGCCCCGCTAAGCGAAATCATCGGCCGCCAGCCCCTTTATGTAGTGGGTAACATAATCTTCGTTCTTTTTACCGTCGGCGCGGCCCTTTCCAACAGCATTGGGATGCTGATGGCGTTTCGGCTACTGATGGGCCTCGCCGGATCCATTCCCATTACTATCGGAAGCGGCACGATCGCAGACATCATGCCAATCGAGAAGCGTGGTAGAGCTATGTCGGTTTGGTCATTAGGCCCTCTCTTGGGTCCTTGTATTGGTCCCATCGCCGGTGGCTACCTGATACAAGCTGCTGGTTGGAGGTGGGTGTACTGGTTGATGGTGATTCTTGTACGTTGTGATTTCAAGGGGTTGCTTCAGTGAAATCATAACAAGCTAACGCGCCTGTAGGCCGGAATTTTCATCCCTATCTCCGTCGTCTTCCTCAGAGAAACTTTTGCTCCTGTCCTGCTCGAGCGTAAGGCCCAGAAGCTCCGCAAAGAAACAGGCAATATGAACTTGCGGAGCAAGCTCTCAGAAGGGCTCGGCCCTATAGATAAAGTGAAAACAGCCATAGTTCGCCCTATGAAATTATTAGTGTTAACACCAATCGTCACCCTCATGTCGCTATATGTCGCAATCACCTATGGGATATTATACCTCCTCATCACTACCTTTTCGTTCGTGTTCACGGATCAGTACGGTTTCAGCGAAGGGGATAACGGCCTGACGTTCCTCCCGGCCGGAATAGGTTTCATAGTTGGCGTTATCGCCTTCGGGCAGATCGTAGATTGGATGGTCAAGCGAAACCAGGCAAAGAACATCGTGCATAAACCCGAACTTCGACTTGTGCCTGCGCTAACGATCCCCTGCGGCCTCACACTTCCCATCGGCTTGTTCATGTACGGCTGGACTATCCAGTATGCGGTGCATTGGATCGTTCCTATGATTGGCGTTCTCATCTTCAGCGCCGGGCTAATGGGAGTAATGGTAGGTTCCATGATGCATGGTCCCAATGTCTTTGTAAAGCTGACAAGGTTGTTACGCAGTTTTGCATACAGAATTACCTCGTCGATACGTACCTCCGCTATGCGGCCTCTGTAACTGCCGCAATGACTGTCCTTCGGTCTCTACTGGGAGCGCTGCTTCCCCTTGGCGGTCTCGAGATGTACAACGCGCTAGGCCTTGGATGGGGCAACAGCTTGCTCGGGTTCATTTCGCTTGCGCTCATCCCAATACCAGCCATTTTCTATGCATTCGGTGAGAGGATACGGGGTAGGTTCAACGTCAAGTTGTGACCATATTTACCTATCTGCATGAGTCATCGTGAAGTGGATAGTTGCACAAAATTGAGGATATAGTAGAATAGGTATAGACGGATACACAGGTATTTTGGAGTGTGTATATAGGAAATATAGATTGAACACATACAATAATCGGTTCACTGGCTCTTCGTCGCTAGGTACCTATGTAAACTGAGGTCCTTACGAAACTCAGTAGGTCAAGAGGTTCATTTCAAGTTACAACAAATGCTCATCCAGACATTTTTTTAGTTAGGTATTTTTTCATTTCATTGGGTAACAGGGTGAATATTTTACGATTTTCGATATTTCGCATCAAGATATCTTATGGGGAAATTTTGAGCTGATTGCTTTACAGTGGAATGACTCATTTTTCGGTATTCGTCATTATGGAGCTCAAATCTCGTGCATCTGCAAGTTAACAAACACGCTTCTAACCAGGCTAGATTTCGCGAATTATGTCATCCGCAACGAAAACTTTTATCTGGGAATCTGACAAGCACTTTTGCAGCGGATATCCGGTGCTGCGGGTAACCTTCATAGCCGGAACGGCTCTGGGGGATACAAGTCTGGAACTTCCCGAGATCCATAAATCTTCCTACATTAACCACTTATATAACGAGAGAAAATTCATCATCCCGTGATTGTACTGATTTTTCATGGATAAAAGCCACCCACTCTGCCACTCGCCTGCCTACATATGTTGAAAATGCTACCCGGACTTAAAAACTGAGCGGTACGTCATCTGGGCTCGAATCGGGATAGAACAATGATGAACTACATAGCTCGGTCTCGGCATTTCGGCCTCAACTCCAATTAAAAATGTCATGGACTGCACGGTGTGAATAAAGTACATAGACAATCGAAATGATTCTACTCGGTATTGCCACTGTCATTGCTATTTACTAGGCCCAAACACGAATTTGCATATGAATTTTCTTTTGGGAAGAGTTTATTATTATAATGTCTAGTGATAAAGAAGACGACGACTCTTCTGAACACTCGCGCGGCAAATCATCTACTATACCGATTCCGGATGCTAATTCACCCGCTACCGCACCTGATTGGGATGTAGACTGTGAATGTCAGCAAATGGAAAAGGATATCGATCATGACGGCCAACACCCGTCGCAGGGCTGCGCAACTGGTCGGGATGATCTAGACGGGCCCTCAAGATCGCTTTCGCGAACGGTGTCTCGTCGGGATAACGTGCTATCACGAGTGCGCTCTAGGCCAAAGGTCCCGCCATTCACCCACCCGCTCGCGAAGGTGAAAACAGGCCAAGAGTACATCGTCGACTTCGACGGGCCGGACGATCCCTATCGTCCCGCGAATTGGCCGTGGCGAAAAAAGGTGTCGACGACGCTCCTGTACGGCTTGGTCACCATGACCGCCACCTGGGCTTCCTCGTCGTACTCCGCGGGCACCGCGGAGGTGGCCGAGTATTTCCACGTCGGCAGGCAGGTCGCGACGCTAGGCACGACTCTGTTCCTGGTGGGCTTCGGCATAGGACCTCTGCTCTGGGCGCCGCTGTCAGAGGTGTACGGCAGGCGAGTGGCGGTGCTCACGCCGATGTTCATCGCGATATGTTTCTCGTTCGGGGCCGCGACGGCCAAGGACTTTCAGACGCTCATGCTGATGCGGTTCTGGGGGGCGTTCTTTGCTTAGGCGCCGGTCACGAATACCGGCGGCGTGCTTGGGGATTTGTTCACACCGGCCTATAGGGGGATCGCGATGGCCGGGTATGCGATGGCTGTCGTGGGCGGACCTACCGTGGGACCCATCGTGTCGGCTGCCGTTGTGGCACAGCCGTATCTCGGATGGCGATGGACTGAATACACTACTGGAATACTACAAGCTTTCGTCTTGTTCTTCGCAATCATCTTCATCGACGAGACGTACCCGCCGAGACTTCTCGTCGTTAAAGCACGACGACTGAGGTTCGAGACGGGTAACTGGGCGCTGCACGCGAAGTTCGAGGAGTGGGATGTGAGCATCGTGGAGCTCGCAAGAAAGTTCCTTCTCCGTCCCATCCAGTTGCTTTGCACACCGATCTGCTTCCTCGTCGCTCTATACGCCAGTTTCTGCTACGGAATTCTCTACATGCAGCTCGGGACAATCCCCATCATCTTCGGGGAAGTCAGGGGGTGGTCGATCTTGCCATCCGAACTTCCCTTCCTCGCTATCCTCATCGGAGCGTTCACCGGCGCAGCCATAAACGTAGCCAACCAGATTAACTACAACAAGGCTTACCACGCAGCCGGCGATAGAGCTGTCCCCGAGAAGAGGCTGCCCCCGATGATGCTAGGATCCGTGCTCTTCGCAGGAGGCCAATTCATCACCGGCTGGACGGCGGACCCGGCCGTCGCGCACTGGATCGTGCCCGTCATCGGCCTGTACCTCGCCGGCTGCGGCTTCTTCACCATCTTCCAAGCCGCGCTCAACTACCTCGTCGACACGTTCCAGACCTACGCGGCGAGCGCCGTGGCCGCCAACACGTTCCTGCGGAGCTGCTTCGCCGCCGCCTTCCCGCTCATCGTCTCGCCCTTGTACCATAACATCGGGGTCGGGCCCGGGTCCAGCATCTTCGCCGGCTTCGCGTGCTTGCTTATCCCCGTGCCGTATGTGTTCTACTTCTTCGGGAGGAGGATACGGGCTGCTAATAAGTGGAGCAAGGGCAGCGTGGTATGAGGAGTTGCATGCACGTATGCATGGCAGTGGTGATTAGAACATGATGATAACGAAGAGCATAAGTGCACGTGTCATTACTACCTAACTCGTACATATTCAATTATCTAGCAGTTGATAGACATAGCATTCACTAGATACCTAGACATAATGGTACTTCGTATAATTATTCGGCAATCTTGCGTGAGCATTACCCCTTATTCTAAGCCTTGAAGGCAGCAGCCGCAAGAACAGCGGATAAGCACCTAAATTTTCTACGTTTAGGCATTTCAACAGAGAGTAGCTGGGCGGTTAAATACATGTTCGTGGCTGGATGGCTTGCCGCATATTGAGCCATATTAAGCCACCGGAGTAATAGATTTTAGCAATGTCCGGAAGACGCCATCTTGGGTCCCAGTACCCGCCTGCCGGTAGCCGGTGACGAAACCGGGAAACGTCAGGAGGCGCATCTTGCTGGATCGACGATGTGAAACAGGGAACCGGGTAAGATTCTTACGGAGTAAGGCATCGTCATCGCGCCATGAAAACAAGAACACAGTCATATCGCTCGTGCAACAATGGGCTGAGGATAAGTCATTCCAAACTTAGGTACCGAGCCGTCTGCTGCGCAATTGTTGGCGTTGGCCATCCCGTGAGAAGCAAGGGCTTGATAAGCAGTTCCACTCTGGCGTTTATTGAGATGGGGTAAAATGATCATCAACGAGAGTTCTGTAGATCTATAGGTATAACGATGGCAAAGAAAAAAAGCAAAATCAGTGAAAAAATCGGCAAAAAAATATGATTCGAAGTATCTCTTTGGAAGAGATGCATCGGGAATTGAGCCCGATGCGGGGGTCGAACCCGCAACCTTGAGATTAAGAGTCTCACGCTGTGAAAGATGTTAGTATACGGAGTAATCAAATCAGATGATTGAATGACTTTACTAACCTCTACCGATTGAGCTAACCGGGCTGTGATGATTTGCTCACAAACCGGCGGTTATATCGGTGGTGTAGAAAAAGGTAAGCACGGAGCTCCGACGTTGTGCCGGTCGCTCTTGCCCTAACCCCTGACTACTGACTAATCACTAAATACTAGTAAAAGAGGGTTGTCGCTATGGAAATTTTATACGAGGCTAGATGTCACAATTCCTCTTTCATATCTTACAACTACGTAGTACACTTTATGCTTCATGCATTAGCATAGTTGCACATGGCTAGAAGAATCCGCAGAGACCTTCGAATCCTCGGAGCACCAACAGATTTGATGTCTTGACCTATCAGTGCGTGCCATGTAGGAGTATTTTTAGGCCAGCTTAACAAGATTATTCGAGCTTCGAATCATGGAAGCTCCCAAATCATCACCTTCTCTCCTAGAGAAGGCTGTGCTTCGATCCACGTGCTTGCGCAACTCCTGCCAGGCTGCCAGGATAACTAACAAGGCAGGCGATAGACTATTATGGTACCTATGTCCTAGGTTCCATGCTTGAGCCTCCATTCCCTGCAGCCTCAACTTGGGGACTCCATAATACCTATTCTGGTTCCCAGCCTTCTAGCGTCAGCCTTCATGTCTAAATCAAGATAAGTCCTTGGTCCTTTTTGAGTCTGGAGTATGGAGGTTGGAACCTGTAATTGTAGGGGGAAGTATTTTTAAGCTTGTCTGGACTCTGGACTCTGCCGGCATCGCTTGGCGTAGGCACTGCTTATCCAGAAGCGCGATGACTTTTAGAAATGGGAAATCCTCCAGTTACCTATCTGAGGGTGTCTCAGGTGCAGGCTCACATGACCATATGACATAATACCAAGCTCAATCAACTTCCGTTGTTGTCCACTTAGCCTCTAGGAATTAGGATCACGAAATGTTTCTCAGGTACACCTACTAATGAGCGACCAATCAGAATCTTTGTAGCTAATCCGGACCTGAAACATTTAGTACGGAATGTCTTCAATTCTATGGATGGTCCCTGACGCTAGCTATTTTTAATCCAGTCGGATTTTTGTCGTGGGAATTAGTTACGCCATATTTAAATCATCCTACATTTCAATCGTCATTCCTTGAGTTTACGTAGAATCTTGATTCGTCATAGCGATTTTTCGTCTATTCGTAGTATTTGATTACCAGATATTAATATATTCATGCCGAGTCCTGACTGGAGCGACAATGGAATCTAGCGTCGGCCACTTACTATGATCTGGCATTAGAAAGTTGTTCCACCGATGCGTTCAAGGATCGGACTAAGTGCTGACAGTTAATCAAGCAATTAATCGCGGAGTGGGAAGGGGTCCCCCTGAAGTACAGCGCCAACCCGCTTATGACCCCCTGACCCCCTAAAAAATAGAAGACATGCAGCTACTAGTACACTATGGATGTGCTAAGAGTCTTGAACGTTGCTATCACGCAACAAATCCAACGTAGGCTTACCAAATATGCAAGTGATTTATATCGTGATGTTTGTCAAAATGTCGGATATTCCGAGAATTGAAACAACCAGGTGGATTTCGTGAAATCCATCGGCACATAGGAATACCATTTTGACCATTGGTCACCTGGGCACATGTACAACTTGAACGCGCTGGATTGTACGGCGGACCGTTAATCTTTTGAGGCTCGAACTAATTAAAGAATTCCAAGCATCTGCCAACTTCTAGACTCCGGTAAGACCTGATTAGGGTCAAAGCTTCTACACGCGGAAGTTGAGTTTCCTGATTTTATTTCCGTTTCCAGAGCCTCGTGGACCCCTGCCTGACCTTTCAGCTTCTCATAGCGTTAGGTAGTGATTGGTCTTGGTTGTTCTTTCAACGCCATCAATAAGGTTACTTACCGCGCGCTATTGTTGTTCTATCATGAATTGTCTGTGTAATAATGACACAATGCAAAGTCAAAGACTCAATTGAAATCCACCTAACGCTGTACAGTAAGTACATAGTAGTGCAATAGGTTGTCAATTGACTTTCAATTGCCGTCAACCGCTTGAGGCGCTACTATGGATCGGGCAATGCGATAATTGAGATCGATCTTTCTTCCATAGTAGTACTTCGTATGTAAATAGTATTATCTGACAGTCTCAGAAAGGGAAAGTCGAAGTTGAGATTACCTTCTGCTTCGCCTCTCTTGCCTTCTATCTACATCTGTGTACCGCACATCTACCTCTAAGCGAACCCGCCACCCCACGAGTAGCGACGATCATTTACCTAAATTGCCGTTCGCATGCAGCATGTACCTGCAGTATGCAGGAGAATATGCACGAGAACGCACAACAGGCAGAGAGGCAGAGAGGTTGTGTACCAAGAAATAATTCTCCAATTCATCACTCTTTCACCTCTTCCACTCTCTCTTGCCCACATCCGCTCTCCCTCTATTAAGCCACATGCGCACAAGAGCGCCTACCAAACATCTTGCTCGCTTCTCAGGCAGTTCTCAGGTACCGGCAGGGGAATTAAAATTGCATATGTCCTAAATGGGACGTGACAAGGTCTCCAACGCGGAATGTTGCTGAGTGGTTGGCAAGATACGCAGGGGTCAAAGATAATGACCAGCCAGTAAGACGGCGTCTTTCAAGCCATATGGGCCATATGGACCTGAAGAGAACCATCCACGACCAACCAAGGGAACAACCGGGGAAACTTACGCGCTACCACGCAGTACTATGTCCATCAAATGTCTGTCAACTTTCGAGCGCCTGCAGCCTGCAGGAGGGAAAAAAGTACTAGGAAAAGTAGGAGTCACAGAGTTGTCCATGCTCCTTAACATCCTTGATCCTTTAAATGGCCTAATAATGGGTGTAAAAGACCGATTGCGACGCTACCTAGTCGTAGTCTGAGCCGCCATACCCCTTTCGATGCATCCCACAACCCAGTCTAGACGAGTTCTGGTGCTTTTCACTCTTTCTCTACCTACCTTAACCAGCTTACCAGCTTACCTGCTCTCTCTTTTCTTGGTTGTCGACGGTTGATATCCTAGGATTCTGTTAGGTCGTCCAAGTTGCCATTCTCTATTGCCAGTGAAACATTGCTACCATTACTGCCTCGTCTGGGAGACCGAAGTCAATAATCTCTTGGCCTGGGTTGTAACCTCTCCACACATTCCGACTACACTACCTAGTCAAACTACCCCCAAGTAACTACTAGTTATGAGTGCCAGGTGATAAGACAAGGGAGTAGATCAAGCACCATGTCTATGCCGAACCATGAAAGCTTGCAAGACCTGCCAGACCTGCCAGACTTGCAAGACTACTCGCACCGGCCCTCCACGGCCAACTCTGAGACTTCCCATGCCTCATCTGATCTGCCTTTCCCTCAGCAGCAGTCGTTTCCTTCCTTCACAGACCAATCGCATTCCTTAGAAACAGTTCCCGAATCGCCGGTCTCAATAAACACGAGAGGTCTTGTCATCGATAGTTCTGCCGTCATATCGCCGCCCGCTAGGTCTATACGTCGGAAGCCAGTCTCATCCACCGCGTCGCCAGTTGCTGCTAGATATTCCTCCGGAGAGTACTTAGCTCGCGCAAACGGATTGGCCAAGCCAGACCAACGGTATTCCCGCTCCTTCTCGGTGGATAGCCCTACCGTTTACGAGTTTCCTCGTCCTCCGCTATCTAAGATCGGTTTGGAATCGCCTGACGATTTCGTGTTGATTCAGGGAAGGAGGGAGTGAGTCAGCGTCTCATTAATTAATCTACAATCCAACGCGAATTATTTAAATCCAACATATGCTAATTACTTCTCGAATTTAACCAGAAAAACTCCTGCGCCTCGTCATCCTTTGGCTACTGCTGACACCATCCCGGCTGTCATAGCGGGTGAAGCCAAACGTCCCAGTTCTCGGGCTGACAACCCTGACGCACCTCAAACGCACCACACCACTGACCTGTCGCAACACTACGAGCAGTCCACCTATGACGATCTTTTCAGCGACGAAGAGGAGGATCCACTGAACGACCAAATCTTTGACGGATATCACTCAGATTCGTCCGATAATAGTAATTATAATAACTCGCATACTATGTCGTTGCATATCTCCCGGAAACCCACACTACCACAACTGAATCTCAAGCCAGCCGATTCAACATCTGATAATTACGAAGTGAAAACCCCAAACACTGACAAGCCGTTACCTAAATCGCCAAACTCTTCAAAGCTAGGAAACTTCTTTGGCTGGAATTCGCCTTCTAACACAGAGGCATCTGACAAAGGGTTTTCGCCTCTTCCTTCGCCCTTCCACTTCTCAAAGACAACTAGCGTTACCGATGCATCCCCAGTCACAACAGTCGGACCACAATCACCACTTGACGCCCCCAAGGCACCGCCGTACGGATCACCAAGTTCAAGAGAATACTGCGAATCTTATTTGGCAACCCCAGAGTCAGCCACATATTCACCCCACCACCAAATCGAAGAAATGGAAGATGAGCTAAAGGCCATCTCGGCCGAATTGGCTGCGTCAATTCGGCGCGAGATGGACCTAGAAGATCTAGTTGACAGACTACAAACAGAGAGGGACAACCCCACGACGACAGCAAACAAGAGGACCAGCGACTACTTCTCGGATTCGGGATACAGCTCGGCCAAATTGAGCGAATATGATCAGTCGAGGGAAGAGATCGAGAAGATCCAGAGGAGGTCGGAGCAGGAGAAAGCCCAGATCAGACTTGAGTTGACCAATAAATTACAGGATGAAAGGTCTAGAAGGTCGCAACTTGACGAGCAAATCAAGGAGCTCTCGGCAAAGGCATCCCAAATCGACCTCGAGAAAGTGAATAACGTCGATGCTACTGGTCGCATCAAGGAATTAGAAAGCACCTGTGAGACTCTACGGCGTAAGCTGACTGAGGAACGCCAGGTCAAGGATAACTTCGAGGACTTGCTTACTGCGCTCAAGGATGAGCTTCAGAATGCGTCGAACGAACGCGACAACCTTCGAGATGAAATTGTCCCCAGCCTGAGGGCGCGTGTTGAAGGACTAGAGGCACAAGC